CACGTCCCGCATGTCAACGAAGTCCAGCTCACAGCGGCGACGGGCGGCGCCGAGATGTCCTGCTACCGCTGCACCATCCCGTTCGGCGTGGTGGTCCTCATCGCCGGCATTGTGGTGACGGCGGTGGCCTACACCTTCAACTCCCACGGGTCCACCATCACGGTGCTGGGACTGGTGCTGCTGTCTGTCGGGCTGGGGCTGCTGGGCGCCAGCGCCACCTGCTGGAAGGTCCGACAGAAGAAGAAAAAGGACAAGCGACGGGAGAGCCAGACCGCCCTCATGGCGAGCCACGGGTACTGCGTGGTCTGAGCGCAGACTTCTGAAGGGAATAACGAACAGACGCTTTACAAACTGCAGAGACTCGCCGTTTCCTCCTGCAGCTGCCGCTGATGTTACCGGCGAGCAGAGCGAAGGACGCGTCTCGGACATTAATGATGGAGACGCCTTCATCAGCTGGAGGATGAGGAACAGCTTGCTTTAGTGCCGACACTAAGACATAAATAACACGTCATTCATTTTACAAATATGCTGATAAACCAGTTTTTCAAGCAGAATATTTTCAGGTCCCAGCTCCTCAAATCTGCCCGATTTCTCCGATTCATCTGTCGTTGAGCTTCTGGAGTTCAAACACGTGACCCTCCAAACACCCACCCTGCACTGGGGCCCATTAGAGGAGCCCTGAGCTCAGACAGGCGACCCGGCGGGTGTTCAGAGTTCTGGGTAACAAAATCACAGCAGGTCCTCTTCTTTATCGTTGGAGCAGGTAAATTCGATCTAATTATTGCCAAAACATCAATTCTCTCAAAGACTTAGCAGGTTTGTAGTTTCCACACAGGACACGTTAGGATTACGGCTGATGCTTTTATTCTGAAAGTACCTGCAGCTGTTTTAATGACCTTTAAGTGTTAAAAATAAGATTTTGGATAATATGAGTGTTTAGTTGACGGCTTCTCTCATTTATGATGCACAGTATCTAACTAAAGCTGCTAATAAGCTATAAAAGACATGTAAAGGTACTCTAACGTAGACGTTTCTGAGTTTGTAGCTCTCGGTCTCATTTGTGGCCTCCGACGTTTCCCCGGACACACAGCGTTCCTCCGGGTGGAGATTTCATCACGGTTTGATGTTTCTGGGCGAGACTGTGTTTCCCTCTGATGTTGGGTTCAGACCAGCGTCGCATTAGATGGTTTTGCGTCACATTGGGTCATTAACATGTCAGGAACATAAACACGACAATCATCGCTGCTCGCTGTGTTTCACAACCTGATAAAGGTCTCTGCACACGAGGACCGAGGGACCAACACAAATGTAATCATGTGGCGTGCGCGGCAGAGCTCCCAGACCGCCGAGGACGACTTATCTGTCGACTTATCTGACTCAGGGCGGAGTCTTAACGAGATTAACGAATGACGTGAGCAGATCACTCTCCCAGACTCAAACCGGACTCCATGATGTTCTCGAACAACGTGAAGAAAAACGACCTCCTCGCCAATTTATCCCGTAACAAGTTTATGTCAGATGTAATTGTCCCAGGAATTCTTGAGTTATGGTCGTAACAGCGAGTTGGACCTTTATCGCTAAATTAAGTGCTAACAGTTCCCATCCAATCCTGCGATGTCACGTTCATGATAATGAAATGCATGTTCTACCTGGAAGACTCCGCCTCCAGGCTTCACCGCCGCCTTAATTGTTTTTACATTAGTGGCGCCTTCTTGGAGGTGGAGGAGACGAGATCCTCAGAGAAAGAGCTCCGCCTGGCTCGTCCGAGTTCATCCATACTGTGGGATCATTGTGTCATAAACCATCAAATCTTCCATCTGATGACGCTCGTCAGCGCTTCGCGTCATCGCTCTATCGTGGAGTCTGAACCCAACGCGGTGACGTAACTGAGCGCCGTGCAGAGGTCACAAATAGACCGATTCCTGACATGCATGCTACTCTGTGTTTAGTGCACTATGATGCAGATGTATCCACTGTATTAAAGCTGTTTAGCTCCTATTTATTCTGTTGGTGTAAAATATTTGTTCTATTAAAGTCAGCCAAACCACACGCTGCTCTTTC